TGGTAGCCCAGGCTGGCCTCGAACTCACAGAGATCCGCCTGGCTCTGCCTCCCGAGTGCTGGGATTAAAGGCGTGCGCCACCACCGCCCGACCCAAAAAATGATTTTACTTTTTAAATTATGTATATAAGTGTGTGTCTGTCTGAACATGTGAGTACAGGTGCCGAGGAATCTATAAGAGGACTTTAGATCCCCTAAGCCTAAGCTGCATGCAGGTATGAATTGCCTGATATGGGTGTCAGGAACCAAGTAAGTCCACTGTAAGAACAGTACGTATTCTTAACCTCTTAGCCATCTCTCCATCCATGTTTCTTTTTATTTTAGATAGGGTCTTAAGTATCCAGGTTGGCCTCAAAATCCTGGGGACTAGGAATGACCTTGAGTGTCTGATCATCCTGTTCCCACCTCCTGAGTACTTGGATTGCAAGTGTGCACCGCTCTGCTGGTGTATATAGTGCTGAAGATTGCATACAAGGCCTTATGCATGGTAGACAGTCTACCTACTGAGCCACATATCCAATCCTTGTTTCTTTAGTTAGGTCTCCATTCAGCTGTCAGTTTATTAATCGAACCTTTTATGAACACATTTAAAAATGGCAGGTCTTCCTTCTTATAGCTCTTTACCCTTCTTGTCTACCTTCTCTTGTTTTATTTCATCCAAAGCATCATCTGATATTCTAAACTTATTAGTTGTTTATTTGTAAATTTCTGCACTAGATCTTAACCTTTATGGAAACAAGAACTTACTTATTTGTGTTTGTTTGTTTGTTTGTTTATTTTAAAGGCTCAATTCATGGTCTGATACATTTTTGGTACATAGTAGATACTTCAAACAACATTGTCTTCAGCCTTTTGAGTTCATGAGCCACTGAGAAGTAGGACATCCAGTTTTCTTTTATGAACTGAATAGTGCTGTGGCAATGCTTCTTACCTGACTGTACTTACATTTTCTCCAGTTGTTAAGCACCCAGGACTTCTAATTTCTCTTTGAGTCCTCCTAGTTGAGCTCCCTCCTTTCTTATTAAAGTTTGTGTCTCTAAATGAGCTTGTTTTTGAAAGAGAATGTCAATTTATAATAGTGATTAAGTCATGCTTTATTTTGTGCTTTTATGTTCATTTTTCCTCCTGAATGGTGTTTTTAGGACAAGAAGGAGGGAGAAATATCAGCCGGCTCTACTAGTTCAGCATACTGTGTTAAACCTGTTTCAACAAAGAAGAGAAAATTGGTAAGTGTTTAGATACCATAACTCAATAAATACTATTTATCTTGAAGGGTTTTTTTGTTTGTTTTTTTAATTTTCATGAGATTGACTCTTACTATATTGTTGAGGCTGGCCTTGAACTCTTGGATGAATCAGTCCTCCTGTTTTACTCTTCCAAGTAGTTGGAACTATAGGCATGTGATACTCAGTGCACTTTGACATAGTAAAGTTTTGATGTCCAGTTAAAGGGTTTATGATACAAAATTTCTCTCTGTATTTTTCTACAATTTTTTTCTATTATGCTTAACTTGTGAAAGCCAATAAAAACCAATGTTTTGTTTTTCCTTTTATTTGCCAAAAGTCATTTGTCAGGTTTTTGCTTTTTTTGAGGCAGAGTTTCACTCGGTAGCCTTGGCTGGCCTAGAGCTTGATAACATAAACCAGGCTGGCCTCAAACTCAGAGATATCTGCCTGCCTCTCGTGAGTGCTGGGATTAACCACATGTGTCACCACCCCCAGCAGGTTTTATTTTTTATGTTGGTAGACCCTATTACATAGAGTTAGGCAACATGGAAATAAATTCAGAGAGTTTTTCTGTCTTCTTATATATACTGTTATATTTGTTTTTACAGTTTATTTATTTATTTATTGAGACAAGTTCTTGCTATGTAGCTCATAGATCAAGTAGATCTGGAATCCTGGAACTTGGAATCTTCCTGCCTCTCAAGTGCTAAAATCATAGGCATGTACCACCAGGCTTGGCTTACATTCTCTTTTTGAAGTAATTGAAGTAGATACATTGCTTATAGATTGAGATAAAAAAAATTGAGATGCACAAAATCAAATATTTTGTTCACTAATATAAAATTAAATGCAAGAGCAGTGCCAAATCTAGAGTTCTTTCTGTTTTTTCACTAATGGTGAAAACAGTAACAGCCAATTAAACACATGAAGCTAGTTCATGGGCAGCTCATGAAGTACTGGCCACAGGCAAAGGTGTCAGAGAAATCTGCTTCCCCACTCCCATTGTTGGGAATCCCACAAGAATACTAAGCTATGCAACCATGAGATGTATGTAGAGGATCTAGCTCAGACCCATAGGGGATCCATGCTTGTCACTTCAGTTTCTGTGACCTATGAGTCCTGCTTAGTTGATTCTGTGGGCCTTGTTCTCCTGGTGTCCTCTACCCCTCTGGTTCTATCCTTCCTCTCCCTATTCTGCAGGGTTCCCCTTACTTCACCTAGTGTTTGGCTGTAGGTCTCTGTATCTGCTCAGATCAGTTGCTGGATGATGCCCCTCTGATGACAACTGGGCTAGGCACCGATCTATGAGAATATAGCAGAATATCCTTAGGAATCTTTTTTTTTCTTTACCGATTGTGTTTGGTTCTATCCTGGGTCTCTGGGCTGTCCTGCCTCTGGTTTCTGGCCATCCAGGCAGTGTCAGGCATGGGCTCTCTATGGTGGTATGGGCAACAAGTTGGACCAGTCATGGATTAGCCACTCCACAAATTCTGTACCACCATTGCCCCAGCACATCTTGTAGGCAGGACAGTTTGTAGGTTGAAAGTTTTGTGACTGCGTTGATGTCCCTGTCCTACTGCTAGGAGCCTTGCTTGGTTATAGAAGATGGCCAGTTCGTTCTCTGTATCCCCATTACTAGGAGGCTTTGATAGGGTCGCTCTCACAGATTGCAAGGAGTTTCCACTGCACTAGGTTTCTACACCCCCCGCCCCAAATGCCCACCAATTGCAGTTATCTGTCTCAGTACTCTTTCTCTCTGTCTCTTTTACACACTTACCCTGGCCTGATCCCTCCTGTTTCCATCTCCACCCATCCTCAGTTCACCTACAAAATCTACTCTATTTTCCCTTCCCCTTGAGCCTTCTTGTTACTTAGGCTCTCTGAGTCTGTGGATTGTGGCATGTTTGTCCTTCACTTAACAGCTGATGTCCACTTACAAGTGAGTACATACCATGTTTGACTTTCTGGGTTTAGGTTACCTCACTCAGGTTGATCTTTTCTAATTCCATCCATTTGCCTGCAAATTTCATGATGTCGTTTTTTTAACATCTGAGTAATACTCCATTGTGTAAATATATCATATTTTCTTTATCCATTCTTTAGTTAAGAGACATTTAGGTTGTTTTCAGTTTCTTGCTATTATTAATAAGTCTCTATGAACATAATTATGGTAGTGTCCTCTGGGTATATGCCCAAGAGTGGTATAGCTAGGTCTTGACATAGATCAATTCCCAGTTTTCTGAGGAACCACCATATTGATTTTCATAGTGGCTGTACTATTTTGCACTCCCACCAGCAGTGGATGAGTGTTCCCCTTGCTCCACATCCTTGCCAGCGTGAGCTGTCACTTGTGTTTTTTATCTTAGCCATTCTGACAGGTATAAGGTAGAATCTTAAAGTAGTTTTAATTTGCATTTCCCTGATGGCTAAGGATGTTGAACATAAAATGATATTCTTAGACTGTAAGACTAGAACTTGTTCTAGGTGAATAAGCAGTGAGTATCTTGTGCAATACTGCACATTAGGTTAAAGTTTAAAAATTCTAAATACTTAGGCTATATTAAATATATTAAAGCATTTTTCTTCAATAATAGATCAGCCTTAACGTAGTCTTTTCAGTTTATAAACTTTACTACTCAGCCTTTTGACTCATTTGTAATAACAGTTTAAAACACATTATTGAATGTACAAAATAATTTTTCTTTGTATTTTTGTGAATTTCTTCTATGTAACTTAAATTTTTTTCTTTAAAATTTTTTGTTGCCGGGTGGTGGTGGCGCACGCCTTTAATCCCAGCACTCGGGAGGCAGAGCCAGGCGGATCTCTGTGAGTTCGAGGCCAGCCTGGGCTACCAAGTGAGCTCCAGGAAAGGCGCAAAGCTACGCAGAGAAACCCTGTCTCAAAAAACCAAAAAAAAAAAAATTTTTTTTGTTAAAAACTAAGACACACAGACACTGGCTAGTTCCCACACAGGGTCAGGGTCAGAATCTCTGGCACATGGCATTGTCATCTGTGCTTTCTTCTGGCACACCTCCAAAGACATGCCTGAGACTTTCTTGAGGCTTCACCTCTTAGAAGTTGTCACAGTTTGCTTGGTTTGTCTTGGTTTCTCGTCACAGATTGGATTACTAAACAAACAATGTAGTGCTTGCAGCATGAGCATTCTCTATAATGGAAGCCTTTGGTGTTGGGGGCTGTGGTGTTTAAAGCTTTTATGTAGCTTGTTAAGGTCTGCAAAAACTTTTGCAGTGCCCTTCACTGAGCGTTTTCTTGAGAGTTGTTTATGTTCTCCTGAGGTTTCTTTTTCTCATGACTTTTTGCAGCTACGCATTCTTTTCCAGTTTCATCATGGAATCACTATTACATGTGTGCTCTGTCATTGATTGAAATGAAATACTGTGTGGTACCTGATAGTGATTAAATTTGAGTTTATTGTTTCTATATCAGTCTTCTAGTGTTGGGGGTCAGACCCAAGGCCCTGCATATGCTGAGTACACACACTATTAGCCCCCAATCTTATTTGTTCTCTACCAAATTAAATTTGGTCTAATCTTGAGTATTTAATTTATCCTCTTCTCACTGTCCTTTTCCTTCTCTTTGCTCCGTGACAGAATCCCTCTCCTGCTAGCTTGGCTGATTTATATTTTTCTACTGAATTCATATTACTTACTGCTTTTGATCTTTCACCTATACTTATCTTTTCTCACGAGAGTCTTCCACCTTTTAGTGGCAGATGTTTTGAATTCTTAGCACATACTGACTGTATTCTACTTTGACATTCTAGTTAGGCTGTTTATACATATTCTTTATGTCTCCTTTATCTTTTTGTGTCTGGATCCTCAGTATATAGATGGGATCACGGAATTGAGTCAGACAGATGTATTTTGGATCATGACAGTGCTACTAACTTCTACTGTGATGATCAGAAAGATGCCAAACTCTGTAAGCTTTGGATGCTTTGTCTATAAAATAAAGGTGATAATGTCTGCTCCAAAATGATTAGAGATGCAGTAAACTATTATGGTTCATGAACACAGATGTTTCCCATTCTTCTTCCTTGTAACTGTAACAACAGAACACAATTTATATTTTCTAAATAATTTTTTTTAATTTCAGAAACCAGATGATACAGACATTGTATACTATAATACAAACAGAAAACAAGATCTGAAAAGGTAAATTCTCTATTTTTCTTGACATCTTTTTACAGTATGTATAACAAACAAAACCTAAGTTTCTGTGCTGCTTTATAGATTGGCTGTAGAAGTTGACACACCCAGAAAGAGACCAAAATTCAGTTCTTCAATCCAAGGACCTACTAAACTCCAAGTAGCATCATACTCAAATAACAATCAAATTACTTCACAGAGTTGTTCATCAAATGGAATGAAAGATTCTAAACTTAAAGATAGTAAATTGACAAATATTAGAAGTAAGCTTGGTTATGAAATAAAAAAACATAGCAGCATTAAAATTACCAAAGATATGAAGTCTAAAGCTGAAGGCCAGACAAAGGAAAAGAATTGGCCTCATTCATGTATTCAGGAGAATATGAAAGAGCTCAAGAAATCAAAGAACAATAAACTTAGAGACAGTTCTGAAGAATTGGAAAAATGCAAGAAAAATCAACTTCCTCAGAATTATAATTTCAACAATATAACCAAGGAACTATTTGAATCTGGAAGGAAGAAGATCAGCTTCAAAATTCCCAAAAAATCCTCTAACACCATCCAGAAGCTTGTAGAAGAAAATGTCTTTAGTGTAGATTCTAGGAAGTCAAAGATCAAGCAGAAGGAAAAGGATTGCTTGAAAAGTTCCCAGATGTCATTAGATTTGACCAGGCACAAAGCTGGAAACTTGTTTTCAGATTCCGCATGCAAGCAGACTGTTTGTGAGGGGAAAAGAAGAGACCATCAAGAGCATCCAGAAATTAATGGTTCAGATTCTAAGGAAAACTGTACCCAGGTAATGTATAAAATGAAGGATTTGGTTTTAGCAAAAATATTATTTAAAATACTCAGGTTTTAGTTGCTTCTGTTATTGATGATAATCATAGAGGACTGATTCAAATTTAGTCATGCAGATAATGTTTCTGTGTCTTGTTTTATTCCCTTTTATTCCAGCGTCCTTGGGATGATACTGCTACCACCTGGTTTTGGAATCCGGGTAGTATCCAGGTTCTTATGTTCTGGGACAAAGGACTGGACAGAGACATACAGATAGGAGTAATCAAAGGGAGAAAATTTATTCAGAAAGGATACCATTCCAGGCAGTGACAGTTAATTAGAAGATATACTTCTTTTTTTTTTTTTTTTTTTTTTATTTACAAATTGTATGGCCATTAGCTCAAGCTTATTACTGACTAGCTCTTACACTTAAATTAACCCATAATTCTTATTTATGTTTAGCCACATGGTTTGGTACCTTTTCTCAGCTCTGCCTTCACATCTTGCCTTCTCTGTGTCTGGCTGGCAACTCCTGACCCAGCCTAGAAGATATACTTCTAAGGGAGGAAGCAGCTGGGGCAGAGGAACTTGAGCAACTCAACTTTCAACCTACTGCAGAGTTGCAGTTTTATGTTACTTAATGTAGACTTTTAGCTTATTTGCATTTAGCTTATATGCTTTTCTGTGCATACTTGTTACATGCAGTTCTGCATACAACTTCATGTGTTGCATGTCACATCTTAAATTAGAATCTTTTTTTTTTTTTTGGTTTTTCGAGACAGGGTTTCTCTATATAGCTTTGTGCCTTTCCTGGATTTCGCTCTGTAGACCAGGCTGGCCTTGAACTCACAAAGATCTGCCTGCCTCTGCCTCCCAAGTACTGGGATTAAAGGCGTGCGCCACCACCACCCGGCTAGAATCTTAAATCTCTACCCAGGGGTATATAATAAACTTTGCACCTTTTATAAGAGTTGCCGTGGTCATGGTAATAGGACAAGTATTGCTATGGGACAGTGACTAAGGCTGTCTCATAGGAAAGCCTAGTGTTCTGTTTTGTATCTTGTAGCTGGAAGAGAGGCACTAAGAGGTAATCAGGGAAGCAAGATAGTCATGTTTTCCCACTTAGATTCTCTCCCCCCCCCCCCCACAGAGTTTCTCTGTGTAGTTTTGGTTCCTATCCCGGAAGTCACTGTAGACCAGGCTGGCCTTGAACTCACAGAGATCCATCAGCCTCTGCCTTCCAAATGCTGGGATTAAAGATGTGCGCTACCACCGTCTGGCTCATTCAGTGTATTTAATAAAGCATAGTAAGGTGCGGCATTAGTTAAATGCCCACTATTGCTTCCATTTGTATTAGGCTTAGGAAGTTTCAAGACCACATGAATTTCCTACATTAGGTGATAGATTCATTGACCTCTCTGGGAGTGATGTGAGGTCAGAGAGCACTGAGTAGAATATGGGTATTAGAGTATCTAGTTACAAGCAGTTCTGATTATTCTTCCTTGGCACTTGTAAGAAAACCTTAAATTTAATAAGATTTAAAAGTAAGGGAGATCTTGTCATTAAATATTAAAGTGTTGGCACAGAGTTGGAATTCATGGAAAGATTTTTTTCAGTTTTGTTAGAAGACAGAAAATAAAACAGACCTCTGGTGCTGTCACTACATACAATACAGCTCTGTGGTTTTTGGCCTTTTCTCCTTAGCCGTGATACAGTCCTTAGATTTCTTTTGTTTTTTTATCAGGCCACTTTTAGAAATGGCTCAATGACTTCTATACTTGATCTTAGCCAAAGGGCTGTGAAGCAGTTCAATGATTTCTGAATAAAATTTTTCTGCCATTGAAAGCCTGCTTATTTTCTTTAGGATGGGTATTCTTTAGGGGGTGTATAATTCTGTTAATTGAAAGATGAGTATTTTAATGATTAAAATCCCTAAAGAATATGACTCAGATTTTATGACATGGTAGAATAGGTCTTTTCTAGGGGTGATTCTCATATGGGGGCAGTTTTATCTCTCAGGGTATTTATTAGTGTCTGGAGACACTTTTGTTTGTCATTATGGTGGGGTTGGCAAGATGGCTTAGTAGATGAAGGCACTTGCCACCAAGCCTGATGACTTGGTTTTGATTCTGGGGACCCACATGGAGGAAGGAGAGAGCTGACTTCCCCCAAGTTGTCCTTTGACTTACTTACACACACATAGATAGATAGATAGATAGATAGATAGATAGATAGATAGATAGATAGATAGATAGATAGACAGACAGACAGACAGACAGACAGACAGACAGACAGACAGACAGACAGATAATTCTTATTAATTTTTTGTTGTGGGAAGGATGGGTTTCAGTTCTGGTAGTTGGCCACTTGAATTCAGAGATTCTATACATCACACAAGGCTTAACTCAAAATCCTTTCTCATTTCAGAATTTTGAAACACCATGTTCTTCAGTGTCATCTGAGAATGTCCAAGATACAGATGAAGAGGTTAGTGATGCACTTACTTTGGTTATTTTAAAGAAATTCAACCAATTCTTTCTTTCTTCTTTTTTGGGTGTGTGTGTGAAGGTGTGGAACAGGGTCTCACTATGTAGCCTAGGCTCTGATCTCAAACTTAAGGTCCTCCTGACTCAGCCTCCTGAATGGTGGAGTTACAAGTATATGCCAGGATGCCTAGCTAAGAAGTTCCTACTTTTAATAAAATGTCTATAAAAACCTTGGGAGGATGAAAGCAATGATGTCTCTCTCTACTTAAACTCCAAAAAAATTCTTTTTATTGATTTATTAGGTTCAGTTTATAAGTTTTTAATTAGGTCATCAAACACCATTTGGAGGGGCTTGGGATGTAGTGCAGTTGGAGTGTTTTTCTAGCAGTATAAGATTTTGGGTTTAATCCTAGCATGTGGGCAGGGGTGATTACTGAGAGAAGTCTTTACATTTACTTGACTTTTGCCTTAGTTTCTAATAAGCTAATCTATTTTAAACAGAGGGTAGTATTCATGTGCTACAAGTTAAATTTTTTTTTTATTTAATGCTATGCTTTTGCATGTGTATACCTAGAGTTGCCAAAATGCAATATGACATCAACATGTTCTTCATTTTTCTACTCAACAAAAAGATGAAATTATTATTGTCAAATGAAAGTCCATAGTATTTTATCTTTTTACCCATTGCTCTATTTCCCACCTAGAATCTTCTGATTTATCTTCATACTATTATTGTGTACATTTGTTTTTTTGGGTTTTTTTTGAGACAAAGTTTCTCTGTGTAGCTTTTGAAGCCTGTCCTGGAACTCACTTTGTAGGCCAGGCTGGCCTAGAACTTACAGAGATTCACCTGCCTTTGTCTCCCAAGTTCTGGCATTAAAGGTGTGCACCACCACTACCCGGCCTATTGTTTACAATTTTATATTGCCTGAGTAAATTAAAATTCACTAACGTTTTATATTTTTCTCTTTAAAAGGTTGTGGATAACTTATTTGTAATAGTTCCTTTTATTTTCCTGTCTCATGAGTCAGTGCCCCTTGATAGAAAACTGTTCATGACTGCTTTAAAGATAGAATATATTCTCATTTCTTCTTTCTTTTTAAATTTTAACATAGTTTCTCACTATATTACTTGGGCTGGCCTTGTTCTTGCTGTGTAAAGAAGGCTAGCCTTGAACTTATGATCTTCCAGCCTCAGCCTTCTGAGAGCTGGAATAGTAGGTGTGTGACACCATGCCCAGCCATATTTAATTTTTTATAGCAAAATACCATCAGAGAAATACTTCTAAAGTGAGAAGGATCTTAGGATTTATAGTTCAGAGCCATCGAGATGGCTTGGGGGTTAAAGGTGCTTGTGCACATACACTCCTGTGTTATTCCAGTGCAAAATAAAGTTTAAAGTGTAATACAGTTAGTAATAAAAGACTCAGAGTTTAGTTTCTGATAGTGGATAAGTAGTATTAGAAATCTCAAGGACACCGGATGAGGTATTTTTGGTTATTGGTAGAGCCAGGGATTGAATCCAGGGGCTCACACATGCTGGGCAAGCTTTCTAGCACTCAGCTATAGCCTCAGTTTACACTCTTAAGAGAAAGCTGACTCTTTTAAAGTACTTTGAGATGAGAATAGATATGAAAATGAACTTATTTCGATGTCTATATACTATGAAAGGAACTTCAATGACCTATTTTAATAATATAAAAATCCTAAAGAAAATAGATAAAATTTGATATTCCTTATAGATGGGCAAATTAAGTTCTAAAGTAGTAAAATAGTTTGCTTGCCTGAGGCTATAGAAAGCAACTGATTTTAAAACTATGATTATAAATCCATATATCTTACTGTGCTGTCTTTATTTCTATTAGGTGTTTTCATGATGTATTGCTTTCTTCTCTAATTAAATATCTTCAGTAAGTAACCCAGATATTTCACTAGAGTCTTTTACAATTTAGATGCAGATAGTAGAAGAGCTCCATGCTGCACGTGTGGGAAAAAGTGTGCATTTACCTGTGGTTCCACCTGCCGGAGAGTTAATGAGTATGGAAATTGACTTGGTGGAAGAGGATGTACCTTCTTCTGCTGGTATACGCTATATATTAATTTATATGATCTGTTCTTTTCTAAGAATTGTTGCATTAACATCAAGTTTTTACAGTGTACAGATGAAAGTGTTAAAATGTGCTTGTTTGAAATGATAATCATGTATTTATTAGACAAGAATAACCAAGTTACACATTGTCTTTTATGCTTTGCTCTTAATTATAACTTTTAGTTCTTTCAATCATATAGAGCACTGATCAGATAGAAGGAAGTTTGTTTAAAGGTATTATTTTCATGGTTTCTTTGTTAATATAGTAAAATTTTTACTACTGGGAACAGATAAACACTTTAGTACATACCTGTTGTTCCAGCTCTTGGGAAGCTGAGGCAGGAGAATTAGGAGTTCAAGACTATCTTGGACTACGTAGAGTTCCAGGATAGCCTGTTCTATATAGTCTTATATATTTATCTCAAAATAAAAAAAAAAATAAGATTACATAAATTAGTATACTATTTTGAATTCTCTGTAAAAATTATAGTACTACCTCTTATTCATATTTAAAGCACTCATATTTTACAAATTTCTAAGCATTTTTCTATATGATCTAGTAGGAAACTTACCAGATCTTCCCATAGGTCCTATGAAATAACACTGCTGCTTTTATATATTTTCTTTCTTTTACACATATTTAGCTTTTCAATTATATTTTATTGAGAGTATAACAAAATTAATTTATGCTTCTTGAGTGCATAGCTATCAGGGATGCAGGGTAAGATTTAGAACCGTAGTTACTCCTGGGGCAGGTCAGTTTATGATTAAAATATACCCACAATTTATGATAGTTTGCTGGGGTAGGACTTATGATTACTGTTTTTTCTGTTAAGAATTGAAATAACTCGAGTTTTGTAGTCCTTGTTTAAAGGACTTCTTCCTATAAGAATGTTCCTAAAAGCACTTGTATAGACAGTTCTTGACCCTGTTTGTTCCTGCGTTGCTTCACCTTACCTTCTCTTGACCTAGACGAGTCCTCCTTTGACCCTCTTCTGCCCGGACTCTGGCATAAACAGGGTTGTGGGTCCAGCCCAGGGAACCCTCGCCTGGGAAGAATTTTACATGGCAACAAGTAATGGCTCAGACAGATAGCAGCTTGAGAGTCCTCTGATTGGTTCTCTTATGCCATTATGCTTACAAGACAGAGAGGTTTTGTGTACTTCTGTGATACCCAAGTTTGGTCATAATTTATTATCAAGTGTCATGAAATCCTAACTCTCCTCTTCTTCTCTAGCAAATACTGCCACAGACAAAATGCTTCTAATTGTTATCGACACAAATATTCTGATGAATCATCTCAAATTTGTTAAAATTTTGAAGACAACAGAAATACCAGGTATATATAAAAATTCACAGGTTGTGATTTTCTTTTTTGAGTTAATATTCTATATTAACAGTTGCTTTTTTTTCTCACAGTCATATCCCATCATCTGAATTTTTTTAAGATATCCTAATCTAGGAATCTAAAATACACTTTTAGATGGCACTTATTACATTTTAAAATTATTTGTTTATTGTGAAATTGTTTACATTGTAAACCTTGATTATAGGACTCATGTCTGCTAAATTCATTCTTTTTGTAATCTGATAGTTTTTTTTTTTAATATTTAAATTCTTAACATGCCATAGGATGTATGTGGCAGTTAGAGAATGACTTACAGACAGTTTGTAGGATTCTCTTTTTCTCCTGCTACCATGTGGGTCCTCAAACTTGGCAGCAAATATTCTTACCCACCAAGCCATCAGTGTGGCCGGAGCCTGTATACTTTAAAACTTTGACCTCTACAGAAATTGATTTAGTAGCTCAGTACATGTTGGATTCTAAGAAGTCTTTCTGTTTTCTTAGGCTTTGACACACTTGTGTTACTAATTCCCTGGGTGGTTGTACAAGAGCTAGATCGTATGAAGGCAGGAAAACTACTAAAACACGTCCAGCATAAAGCTGTACCTGCAATTCATTTCATCAATGACAGCCTCAAAAGTCAAGATAGAAAGCTGTGGGGTCAGTCATTACAGCTGGCATCCCAAAAACTTTGTAAGTATTGTTCCTTGATAAAGATTTCTTCAAGTGCTTATTATTGGAAGGAAATACTTTAAAAATTAACAGTGTGTAGCCGTTAGAATGTGAAATCGAATGGGTGTTGTGACCATTTGTGACTCATTTTGGGAGTCTTTGGTTTTGTTTTATTGTTTTTCCTAAACTTTCTTTGGCTGTGTTAGTATTTCACAGATAATTATTAAATCATTTGTATGCGTACTTGGTTATACTATAGAACTTTGGATTTCACCCTCTCTTTTTTTATATAATGATTTACATTTCCTTTCTGTTGCTCCCTCTCCCTCCTTCTCCTCTCCCGCTTCTGCCTTCTCTTGTTCCTTTCCTTTCTCTCCTCTCTTTAGTCCTTTCCCTCCTCTGTCCCCCTCCCCTTTTCTCCCTTCTGTTCCTCTCTTCCTCTCACTTTCTCTGCCCCCCCTCTTTTCTTTTTGGTTTTCAAGACATGGTCTTAGCTCAGGCAGACCATGAGCTCACTATGTAGGAGCAAATGACTTGGAGCTCCTTAGCCTCCTGCCTGTACTCTGCCAGAGTGTGCTGTCATGCCTGGCTCACTTTTTGTGTTTTCTGCCAAGGGCCTGTGTTTCTTGTACTTCTCTAAATACAGTGTTTTGGAGGTTAAGGATAAACAAGACACAAGAAATTTAGTTACGGACTGTGAAGTCTGGATTTGGAGTTCTGAAGACATTGTTCTTGCTGTCTTCATTTTATTTAATGTGTTTTCTGCCTTTCAGATATATTTTAAAAAATAGATGCTTACACAGTTTTAGCTTTATAGCAAAATTGAGCAGACGTTATGGAAATTTCTCATATCCTTCCTATTCCCATACATAATGATTCTCTTGTAATCAATACCTCCTACCAGAATAAAAAATATATTATAGCCAGGCATGGTTGCTCATGCCTTTAATCCTAGCACTTGGGAGGCAGACATAGGCAGATCTCTGTGAGTTCAAAACCAGTTTGCTCTACATAGTGAGTTCTAGGGACAGCTAAGCCTGTAGAAAGACCCTGTCTCAAAAGACCAAAAAAGAAAAAAAAGAAATGTATTATAATCAGTGAATCCACCTTGACACATCATTGACACCCAGTTTACATTGTATGGGTTTGGAGAAATATATAGTGACATGTATCCACCATGGTAGTATCAGAGTAGCTTCATTTCCTCAAAATCTACATATTTTTAATTTGTAAATATTGCCTAGATTACTCAGGTGATACCCTGATTTCTTATCTTTGGGTTTATTTTTCTGGTATGTGTATATACATGTTTGTGTGTGTGCACCTGTGCATGGGAAGGCACAGTTAATCTGAAGAAACAGGTACTTATTTATTGATTGAGCTATTGTCCCAGCCATCTCTGCCATCCCTGCCACCACTCCAGCTTTTTCCCCCCATTGCCTTGGTCTTACTTAGTAGCCCAGGCTAACCTTGAATTTGTGACAATCTTCCTGCCTCAGTCTCTTGAATATTGGAATTACAGGCATGATTCAACATGCTTAAGCAGTATCTAGATTTCTAATATACTTATTGACAGTTGCCTTTGCTACATTTGCAGATGGATTGAGTGATGAGAACAATGATGATCGAGTATTAAAATGCTGTCTTCAGTACCAGGAATTATTTCCATGTTCTCTTGTTATTCTGTGCACGTGAGTGTCATAGTCATTGTGGGGTTTTTTTTTTTGTTGTTGTTGTTTTTTAAATAATAGCTTATGGTAAAGAATTTTAAAAATTTTATTCACCAAATTAAGGATCAAACAATTATTTTCTAAATCTACCACTAATCATACTCAGCTATTACTTTTTTATGATATATGATTCTAGAGGAATGAGATACTAAATGGATAAACTTTTATTTCAATTTAATTTATGTAATAGTCAGAACACATTGGAGAGGAGGGGGGAAGTTGATATCAAAATCTTAAAGAATTTTTCAGTCATATGACGCAAGAAGTTGGTTATTTATATACAAAGAGAGGGTAGCTTATGTTACATTATGTTATGGGTGCATCTTCTGCAGTAAATTTGCCTGCACTAGAATCCTAGGTCTGTCAGTTGTCAGATATATGAATCTGGACAGTTTTCCTAACTTAGATTTTTTTGTGCATAATAAACAGAATGAATACCTGCTTCATAAGGTTTATTAGACAGTATATGTAAAGGAATTAGAGTAGTCCCTACCAAATGGTCATTTTTTTTTTTTTTTTTTTAATTGAGACAAGGTAACCATGTAGGTCATGTAACCATGTAGCCCTAGTTGGCCTAGAACTTTTTGTTTTTGGTTTTTCAAGACAGGGTTTCTCTGTATAGCCCTAGCTATCCTGGAATTGTCTCTGTAGACCAGGCTGGCCTTAAACCCAGGGATTCGAGTGCCTCTGCTACCTGAGTACTGGGATTAACGGTATGTGCCACCACTGCCTGTTAGCCTAGAAGTCTTAGGTAGAGCAGGTTGGTATCAAACTCACAAAGATCCACGTGCCTCTGTGCCCTAAGTAGTGGATTAAAGGTGTGTGCTGCTACATGGTTTTTCTTTAAGTGATGATAATGTGAGTTGTATAAGTCATCTATCCACTTGTACCTATTGTGAGGATGTATCTGTTTGGTTGTGTGGATAATGATGGTGATGATGTTACAGTTATTATCAGTGATAGTTGTAATTGGGAATATTGTTGATAGTAGTAATAGGGAAAAAATGTAAAACAATATACTGTGCATTATTTTCTTTGAAGGTTTGGAAAACAACTTTTATTTAAAGAGAAGATGAGAAGGCAGACTCCTCATGAGATGAGGGGATCTGGAATCAGAATCCACTCCAATGGATTATTTTAAGTGTTTCAGTTAGATTTGCTCTCTGAAATCTGAGCTAACAGCCTCAATATCCGTGATTCTTCTAAGCTCCAGACTAATATACTCACCTACTTATTTGATAGCTTTACTTTTATATTGAAGACATTTGAAATTCATCATCATTAAAAAAATGAACTATTGTCTTTTTCTTCTAAACTATTTTTTTTTATTTCTCCTTTGTATTATATCCCAACCTCAGTTTCCTCTCCCTCCTCTTCTCCCAGTTCCTCCCTTCAACTGCTCCTCTCCCCCAGATCCATTCCTCCATTTTCCCTCACAAAAGGGCATGCCTCCCAGGGGTATCAACCAAACATGACATATTAAGTTGCAATAAGACTAGGCACATCCCCTCCTTTTTAAGGCTGAATGTGGTAACCCAATATTAGGAAATGGTCCTAAAAGCAGGTAAAAGAGTCAGAGACAGCCCTACTAGGAGTCCCACAAGAAGACCATGAAGAATATTCATTTATACTGTGTGAATATATGTAGCTGTGATTGGTTTAAATAAAGAAGCTGACTGGCCAGTAGCTGAACAGGATAAGGTTAGGCAGAAGAGCCAAACTGAGAATGCTGAGAGGAAGAAGGGCAGAGTCTGGAGAGTCGCCAGCAGATGCAGAGAGAAATAAGATGGGTGTGCCGCACTGAGAAAAGATACCCAGCCACATGGCAAAACAGAGATTAAAAAAAATACGGGTTAATTAAAATGTAAGAGTTAGCTAGTAACAAGCCTGAGCTATTGGCCGAGCATTATAATTAATATTAAGCCTCTGTGTCAGTTGTTTGTAAGCCTCTGTGTCAGTTATTTGGGAACTGGTTGAGCGGGACAGAAACTTCGAACCTACAATACCAAGCTACACAACCATAATGTATGCAGAAGACCTAGGTCAGACCCATAAAGGCTCTCTGATTGTCGCTTCAGTCTGTGAGCCCATATGATCCCTGATTAGTTGATTATGTGGGCCATTTTCTTGTGCCCTTGACCCCTCTGGCTCAGCCCTTTCCCCCTCTTCCTCAGGATTCCCTGAGCTCTTCCTAACCTAAACTATTTTTTAAGTGAGTGAAAAGTGCCACATCCTGTTTCCAAAGCGCTGTGCAGAGTCCTGTTGATACTCACTGTTCTTTCATACTCCAGTATGAAAAGAACATACTTTCATACTTGGGACTCTTTGTTTTCTCCCTACCATGAACCCAATTAAGACATGCTACTGCCCCTCTTCTACTCTTAACTCCATCATGCTTTCTACTTCCATACTCACTGCCTTTATTCTTCTAAAAATTAAAATGGCACTTCCTTATTTTTTGAAAAATTTACATTATGAAGAATTCCAACAGTATTCAAAGTGAAGAAGAATAAACTCTTGGGGCTGGGAATATAGTTGAGTGGCAGAGCACTTACTCGCATCTATGAGGTCCTAGGCTCAATTCCCAGTTCTAGAAGGGAGGGAGGAATGAAATCCTAATGTAGCTACAACAGTTATTAAGAGTCTGCCACTTTTCCTGCTTTCTATCATCTGTGTCTTTATCCACTTCCTATCTAGCCAGATTATTTTTACATGGCTCTTTGTTTTTGAGGGAAAATGTACTTAACATTGGGATGCATAAAAATGTTAATAGCTATCAGCATTATCAAATCGACACAGTGGTATAGTTCATATTTCTCTCAATATGAAAAAATATTTCCATCATCCCAGAAAGTGCTGTTATGCCTTTCTTCCCCCCTTTTTTCTTGTTTCTTAAGATGAAGCTTAGGAGCTGGGGAGATGTCTCAGCAGTTAAAAGTGTGTATTGCCTTTGCAGAGGACCTGAGTTTGGTTTCCAACCCGGCATTGGGCAGCTTACAACTACCTAGAACTCTAGTTTCAGGGAACCTGACAGCCTCTCCAGGCCTCTGTGGGCACTTGTGCTCTGATGCATGTGTGTATAACACACACATACAAACACTGAAGGAAAATTGAAAATATGTGAACTATACTAGTGCTTAAAGAAAAGTTTATAGAAGCTTCACATAATCTAAGCATTAATCTTTGTTGAGTTTTCATAATTTTTAATTTTGTGTATGTATGTATGTATGGGTATGTGGGTATTAGTGCCACAGAGGCCAGGGGCATCTTGTACTCTCAATGAACAGGAAGTACTCTTAACCACTTAATGACCCCTTTAGTCCCATATAAATACTTTTATCAAGTTCATTTCTAAACTTCTTAACCATTTTTAATGTTTTTATTGATAACCTGTGTGTTTAAATTGACATGTAGTTGATCTCATAAAATGTTTTTTCCCCCTAACCACACCTTTAGGGATGATAGAAATTTAAGAACTAAAGGCCTGATAAGTGGTGTGAAGTCACTCAGTAAAGAAGAATTGGATTCAGAGATATTATCTATAGCTCTGAACACAAATATGTGTCATCAGCCTTGTATTTCTAAGCAACAGTTGAAAGCAGGTAATATTTTTACTATGAATGATTAGAAATGTATCTCGTGCACTAATATTTTTTTTGATAACATTTGAAACTAATAAATTTTCATCTAGTACATTTAAAATAATAGTAAGTTTGGAAAACTTATATGTATTAAATGAAAATTGTAAAAAGCGAAAGCAAACATTACTGTTATTGCTGCCCATGTCCATATACTTTTACCAATTTTAATTTTATCCATTTTCTCACACTTATTTTTACCTATTATCATTGTAGACATGTTAACTTGTACCTTGCAAAGTGTATTGTTTAAATTATTAATAGCTGTAGGAAATACTCTTTTGAAGTGGAACTTTTTAAGTTTTTATAAAATTAGCTTCATATTTCCTAACCCTTTATTAATACAGAAAAAGCAAATATCATACAACTCTAGTAAAATAGTTTTTTCTTAAAATTTAAACTAATAATTAAGAAATATAAGGTCAATACTGCTTTTTTATTAGAATGATCTATTCTGCGATTTGATATTTGATGGGCTGTTACATTGCATGGCACTATTTATAAATGTATCCCAACTTTCCACTCTGTGCTTAGGAACACTTCCTGCTCTTTCCCAGGACCAGAGTTTAGTTGCCAGCATTTACAAACAGCTCTGGCTCCAGAGATCTGACTATTTTTCTGGTCTTTTCTTCTCTGTAGGGAATGTAATTGTTGATTTTTTTTTACATTAGATATACTTTTATAAGTAATTGTATAAATATTAGTGTACTTATATATACTGCTTCTTTCCCTTTTTGAAAATAGTATATCTTTGTCATGATACTCAAAATGACATTTGGGAGGAATTACAGGACATTTTAGTTTATGGTTTTTCAGGAGTGAACTTTCAGTTTGCCCATTATATTACTATCATTTTAAATCCTTAGCTGGTGTTTGTAGAGATAAGTCACTTAATATTTGAATTTTGCTATAAGAAAATTGTAGTTATTTTTCAAATATAAAGGTATAATGTTAATGAGATGGTAACAGCTGAACTTAAAAAAGCTTATTTTGGAAGAGGATGGCATGAGTATAGATAAGTCAGAAACGTTCTTCATTTTAAAATACTTTATTGATGTGGGTTGAAATATGCACTGTTTGGGGGAAGAAAACCAATTTTGATGCAATTTCTGTGTAGTTAAAAAACAATCAGAAAATAAGGCATTCTTGTAATTCTTCTGTTTGAAAAAAATAAAATTCATTTCGGCACCGAGAAGAAGTGGACGCAAAGTCCCTCCCCTAACCAGGGAACTACTGGCGATTGATACCTGCTGGGAAAGAGAAAATCAGTTTTTTCCAATGGAGTCTCACTGGGAATATCAGCCACACTCCAGTGCAGGCCCAGTGCCCAGGAATAGCTGGCTAACACAAGATGGATTTTTTTGTAGGCTTTTTGTTTCATTTTGGTATTTTTT